GTAATGATGTTTACTTTGAATTTATATTAGTTCACACAAACACTCCATCCATGCTTTTGTTCCGGCCCTCCGGCCCAGTTTAAGAACCCATTGTGGCCCTCGAGTCAAAAAGTTTGCCCACCCCTGTTCTATCCACTGAGCCAAGCCGGCCAGGGCTCTATGATTGTTTTCATCTGACATTTCCAGATGGTTCCAGCAGGCCTGCCTCTCGCGGAAGGATGTCCAGTGGGAAAACTGAGGCCCAGAGGGGGCAGCAACTGGCAGAGACTTCAGCTTCCCAGATGCCACATCCTGGTTCTCTCCTGCACCTTGTCCCGTCCCAGACAACCCCACCCCTCCGCACCTCAGCCGCATAAAGCCAGGATAGGCTAGGAATGCCTGGACCTTATCCTGCTAGGCCAGGCCACACCCTAACCCAGTGCCCCAGGGAGGCCCAGAGCCGCCTCCCCCTCCCCCAGTGTCCAGGAGCTTTCTACAAGGTCACACACCTGACCTCACATCTCTGTGGTTCCTGGTATCTCCATGGTTCAGTTCTCACTGCTTTCCCCAGGTGCTCGAGGCCTCCATCTGGCCTCAGCACAAATTCCCAAACTCTGTAGGTGCCTCCACCTCAAATCTGAACTGCCTCATCCCCCTGAAGCTCCCTTTGCCTGAAGGTCCATCATTTCTGCACCTCCACAGCCTCCTTAGCTGCAGCCCACAGGACACCTCCTCCAGGGAGCCCCCCCAGATTGCCCCATTGTTGGCGCTATCATCTAAGCCTGGCCCAGCACCTAATGTTAGGCATCACCTTTTTACAGCTGAGAAAAGGAAGACAGGCTGTTCCCAACTCCTCAAGCAGCCCTCATTCTCTGCCCTGGACCCTGGTTCCACCAGAGCTGCTATGCACATCCGCTACCTTTTTATACCAACTTGCTTATAAATGCTAAATGTGGTTCTAAAAGGAAAAACACAGCATGTCCTTGAACTGGGGAAGTGTTACCAAGCAACATAAAATCAATCATGGGAACAGTGTTACAACTAACAAGGTTATCGATCATGCAATTTTTGTATCTATCAATTGTTGAAACTATAATTAGAAAAACAATGGTTAAAACAGCGGCTTGGACAGTAAATCCCAAGACACTGGGCTGAGCCACTGGACCAATGACGGAGCAGTCCCCCACAGAGATTTTCTCTTTGAAAGTTATTGGGGGTAAACATGTCTTTGAAAGGGGAATGAGTTTACTTAAGGCCTGTCTTCTCCCACCTCTTAGCCCAGGACCCTCTCTCTCAGGGGCCCCCGGTGGGCGAGCACCTCTCCTGCAGCCCAGCCAGAGTCCGGTATTCAGCAGGAATTTAATAATGGCTGGCTGACAGGGTGTGGTCTCTGCAAACATTACTCACTCCAGGTTCTCAGGATGTGGGGGTTGGGTTATTTTAGCTGCAGACCAGGCTGCCCCTCTGGGGCTCCCCTGTAGACCACAGCTTGTCCTCTGGGTCAGCTCTGTCCCCATGCCCTGGGGCTCCCTGGGAAGGACAGGTGTGGCAGGGGTGACTCAGGAGTGTTTGCTGAGTGAATAGCTGGATGTTCATTCACCAGGATTTATAACCCACAGGGCACATTCATTCTTGGAAAAGAGAGCTGGGTCTCTCCTCCAGGTGAGGGGAGGGTGGGGCACCCGTCCTCCTCGGCCCACTTCTCCCAGGTGATTCACTGAGGACAACAAGGGGTGGGACTCATCTGGGTCTTGGGTTCAAGGCCCCAGGGCCCCTTTCACCTATGACCTTGGGCAAATCTCAGCTCACCCCTCATTGTATTTGCTCCTCACAGATCCTGTGATGAGGGGACCATTCTTGTCCCCAATTTGCAGCAGAGGGAACCAAGGCCCAGAGAGGAGAAGTTGCTCACCTCAGGTCACACAGGAGTGACAGGGAAACAGGTCCTGGAGTTCAAACCCTCACTCCCAGTTGGTGGCTCTCCTTCAGGAAGCCCTCCTGGATTGCTCCTTCCCAGCCCCACCTCCACACCCATGTCAATACAAAACCGAAACAGGGGTTTATGGCCCCTGGGGCCACACATTTGCTTGCTCATCACCGAAACTGGCCTCCTGCCATCAGGGCAAAGGTCTGCTGGAGAGGCTGCGGCTCAGACAGGGAAGGTCACACAGCAGGAAGGGGCTCCAGGCATTCCTCTTCCATCACTCAAGGCTATAGCCTCCCAGGCCCTGGCTGGGCAGAGCCTCCGTCCCTTTGATACACAACTGAGTCTCTGTGTCTCCTGCTGGACAGAGCCTCTGTGCTGACAGGAACACACTGCCCCACCCCTCTCCTCCTCCCCAGTGCCCGCCCCCCACAAGCCCCGGACCCTGTGGAGTTGTTATATGCTGCGCCCCAAGCAGGGCTCTGGCTGGTGCTAAGTGCCTCCCCATCAGCCTCCAGGATTCTCAGAACCCACAGGCGGAAGGGGACGGGACCTCTCTGGCCTCTGGCCATGGTGCCAGGCAGGCCCCTCTCTTGGAGGGTCAGGGCTCAAGGTTCTTAGATTTGAGGCCAGAAGCCCAGAGTGGAGCTGAGACCTT